GAGCCGTCGGCTGGTCACCCTGGAAATGCTGCTCTGCCCCCTCGCCAGAGGCTGATTATATGCAGGTCAGCCGGTGGGGAGAGTCGATAGGTAGTGAGTCCTGGGCCTGCCTTCTCTCACGGTCCCTGCAGAGACCAGCCCGAGTGCTGCAGAGAGGCCCCCTTCAGGTGGCTGTCCTTGGTGTGGGCTCCGGGCGGCCTGACCCCCAGGGCCCGCTCTCCCTGTAACACAGCCTCCGTCTCCCAGGTCCACAAGGAACTCGCTCATCTGTAGTGAGTGAGGTGACTGCCACAAACAACTGTGGTCCTATGCTTATACACGCCCCCCCCATCAAAACTAGCCTTGCATGGGGAAAAAAGGAGGCTTATGTAACACTTTTTTAAATTTTATTTTATTGATTTTTTACAGAGAGGAAGGGAGAGGGATAGAGAGTTAGAAACATCGATGAGAGAGAAACATCGATCAGCTGCCTCCTTCACACCCCCTACTGGGGATGTGCCTGCAACCCAGGTACATGCCTTTGACCGGAATCGAACCCGGGACCTTTGAGTCCTCAGGCCGACGCTCTATCCTCTGAGCCAAACCGGTTAGGGCAACACTTTAAACAATAAAGAATTAAAAAATAACTAGCCTTGCATTCCTTGGAAAAATCCCATTTTGTCACGTAATAGAATTATTTTTTTAATCCTCACCTGAGGGTATGTTTCCATTGATTCTAGAGAAAGGAAGGGAGGGGAGAGAGAGAAACATTGATGGCAGCCTCATGCATATGCCCAGACTGGGGATGGATCCTGCAACCTGAGTATGTGCCTGGACTGAGAATGGAACTTGCAACCCTTTGGTGCCCAGGACGATGCTCCAACCGAGTCCCACTGGCCCGGGCATGATATATACATTTAAAAAATGATCTTGCCTGGCCAGCGTGGCTCAGTGGTTGAGCGTCGATCTATGAACCAGGAGGTTACGGTTTGATTCGGTCAGGCCGCATGCCGGGATCCCCAGTAGGGGGCGTGCAGGAGGCAACAGTCAATGATTCTCTCTCATCATTGATGTTTCTGTCTCTCCCTCTTCCTTCCTCTTTGAAATAAATAAAAATATATTTAAAAAATGATCTTGTATTTCGTTCACTGGCATTTTGTTTGCCTTTGCATGCATATTTATAGACATACTAGTGGCCCAGTGCATAGATTCGTGCACATTGAAAGGAAATTAATTAGAAGAAATATTTTAATATTGCTATTTGCCCTTTCTCTATAATAGAAGTGCCAGAGATGAAAGAAAATTGGTAAAATGTATATGAAAATAGTATACCAGTATAAATTGAGCAACAAATAGACAATAACAACATGACATAACGACAACAAAGACATGATATAAAAACAACAAAAATGATATAAAAACAACATTGAGTCCTAACCGGTTTGGCTCAGTGGATAGAGGGTTGGCCTGCGGACTGAAGGGTCCCAGGTTCGATGCCGATCAAGGACAAGTACCTGGGTTGTGTGCACATCCCCAGTGGGGGGTGTGCAGGAGGCAGCTGGTTGATCTTTCTCTCTCATCGATGTTTCTAACTCTCTATCCCTCTCCCTCCTCTCTGTAAAAAATCAATAAAATATATTTAAAAAAAAGGAAAAAGAGAAAAACAACACGGATAGAAATGACTGATAAAGTGATGAAACGTATTCTGATGCTCCCTGTATGCCACATGAAGAGCAAAACACTTTCAGGGCGCTTGACTGATCTCCCTTGCTTTATGTGCATCGCAAATGCGCGAGTCAACATTTATTTTTCAGTTGCCAGTGCGCGTCGCAGGCGCCGGCCGGCTGGGTGGACGGACGGACGGCTGGTCACTTAGCCTGCCAGGCACATAGAATTGAGGGGTCCGCGGTGCTCTTCGCTGCCGGTGACCTGGTTTGTTTCTGGTAGCGGGTGATGCTGGCGCCATGCAGTGAGCTGGAAGCGTTCCCTCTGCTCCTCGGTGTCAGAAGCACTTCTGAAGGGCTGGCCTTAATTCTTCCTTATACTTGTTGGAACTGACCAGGGAAACAAACCGGCCTGGGCTCTCTGTGTAGTGTTTCCATGACTCATTCATGCCTGTCAGATGTTCTTTTTCCCATTGAATTCCGGTGGTTTTCGTCTTCCTGGGAGTCTCTCCGGTCACCTCAGTTGCCGCGCTTGTTGCTGTTCAGCTGTTCATGATGCTCTCCCACAGCCCCTTCTGCCTGTGGGGTCAACGGTCACGTCCCCCTGCACCCTGACGTTGGGAATTCGAGTCTTCCCTCCTTGCTGTCAGTCGGTCTAGCTAAAGGTTTGTCGACTTTGCTCATCTTTTCAAAGGACCACCCTCAGTTCCTTAAGGTTTTCTCTACCATTTTCTGAGGCTGTGCCTTCTAAAGAAGCAGCCAGACCGGCGGCTCCTCAGTGATCCCCGAGCTCCTGCGGGGGTCCCTGTGGTGGCCTCTTCTCTTCCTCCCCGCGTGGCTGGGCTGCCTGTGGGCGGCTCCTGCTCCCGGCTCCCCGGAACGGCTCTGCCTTTGTCTGCATCGTGTTTCCATGTCAGGTTATTTGGAAAAGTTGGTTTATGGCCAAAACTCTCCCCTCACATCCATGAAACGAAACCCCACAGGACAACAAAACTGGGCTGCACCGTTAACACTGGCCACGACGCAGTCCTGACGGAACGCTGCAAAGACATATAAACATTAACAGAACTTCACACGCGTGCAGAATGAGGTGACACGTTGCCTGGAGACCGAGCCTTCGGTGGAAACGCCAACCCCTGCAGGGAGTTGCCGTGTCAGGTTCAGGTGTCGCTCCGAGGAGGCGGACCAGGAAGGGGACGGGTGCTTTCAGCCCTGCCGTGGGCCGGAATGCCGGGCCCGTGACGTGGTCTCTCACTGCGAGGCGCGTGGGAGCCCCTGCGCGCGACCCTGGCTTTGCCACCTGCTGGCTGGGCTGACCTGGGCAGGCTCCCCGAGCTTTCCGTCCCGTTCCCTTCCCTTCCCAGCTTCGGGAGGCCTCCGCGCTCCTCGGGGGTGGTCTCCTCTCCACTGCACAGCCAGCCCTGGCACCGCTCGCCCACCACTCCACGGGCGCTCCTGACGGCGCCGGGCAAGGGGCCCCCGAGGGACCTGCGATTAGATGGGGCCACCTGGGCACTCCAGGACAAGCCCGGGTCCGTCCTCAGGCACAGCCACAAAGCCCGCTGGGCCCCGCCAGGCGACACAGCACAGGTTCGGGTCAGGATGTGACACCCTTCAGGCCCTTACTCTGCAGCCACTGCGCCTGAATGACAGGAGTCCTCTGATTTCAGGAAGGTTTGAAAATCAGAAAAGGGTGACGCCCCTTAGGGAGACGGACCGAGGGCCTGGCAGGGAGCGACAGAGGGAGCACAGAGACAGAAGGGGTAGGAGCTGCTCCCTCACCAGGATGGAGGAGACGCACCCGCAGAGCCCACGTGCCTCCGTCAGGTTCGCGGCGACCCGCCGGCGCGGGCGTTCTGCGCTGGCCGTGGCGCCCGCTGCCCCGCTGCAGCGGTGCATCCCTCGTATCCCCGGCCTCCCTGTCCGGAGCTTATCCTCGGAGCACAGTGTCCTGACAGCATTGTCCCCAGAGGGTGTGCTGCTGTGCGACAGTCACCAGCCGTCGGAGCAGCCGCGTGTCTGGCAGTCAGCGCTGGCTGCATGCTCATGGCGGAGCCATATGGTGGGACGGGGAGTGACAGGCGTTCTGTCCGGGGGATGGCCAGGCAGGGATGAGTCCGCTGGTGCTCATTCCATCAGCACAGATTTTCAAGACTTAATTCAGAAATAATGACAGAGTTACAAGGAAGCGCAGAGGAATGTGTAGGAAAATCCTGTGTGCCCTTCTCATTACTGTGCTGTTACGTTTACATGTGCTGCTTAAGTTTTTTATAGCTACCCAGCAGTACGTGCAAAGTAGGTCAATGCATTTAAGTACATTGGAGAATAGTAATGACGTGGGCAACTAGGCCTGCTCTATTGCTAAGTAAAGAGGTAGGATTTCATTCTGTTTTGACAAATGAAAACATTCATCTGTGTACCTAGCAGCCCAGGTCTGCGTTTGTCCCCACTGCCCAGCCCCGCTGCTTCAGCCTTTCCGCGGTCTCCTCCGTGTGGCCAAGCCTCAGCCAGGCTGTGCTCCCCATGTGGAAGCTGAGGGTGGACCTGCCAGCTGGCAGCGGGGCCGTGCTGCCAGACACCCACACTTCCCCCTCCTGCCTGCCGCCCGTGGTGGTGGCAGTATCTCCTGCGTGTCTCTCAGGGTGGCTGGGTGGCTGGGTGGCTGGGTGGCTGGGCCGTCCCAGGCCGCACCTCCGTGTGCCGAGCAGGAGAAAGGGAAAGCTGGGGCGTGGGGTGCGAACCCACTGTCTCCGCCTGTGAGGCGGGGAGGCCTGCCACGTATTGCTGACCGGCCCGCAGGGTCACGTGGCCACCCCTGGCTGGACGTCCTCAGGAGGCGGGGCTGCGCAGCTGACCGACCTGATTGCCACATGGTCGTGTTGTTTCCATCTTATCCTGAGTTTATCCCGATGAGCGTCAGACTGTTACAATAAAACCAGGAGTCTCTAAAACTTGTGTGTGCCCTTTTGTGCTTGTGCATCGGCTCTAGACAGACGGTGCCAGCTGGGGGCTTCCTGACGGCATTCCACAGCGCGTGTGCCGGACTGCCCTGCGGCTCCAGCAGCCCTGTCCCTGTGGTGGTGCCCGAGGCTGTGCTGATGCCGCTAGGGCTGTGGCCCGGAGGGGGGGGGGGGGGGGACGCCGCAGGGGTGTGGCCCTGTGGGGGGGTGCTGAATGCCTGCTCTCTGTGGGGTGTGGGCCTGTATGGCGCATTCATCCCTTAGACGGGCCGGAGGGTGACCGGGTGGCGTTGGCGGAGCGCTTGCCTCAGGCGGGGGTCCAGGGCTGGCCTTGGCCCCGTGTCCACGGAGTCTAGGGAGCTAGAAGCTAACGTGCGCTCCCTTTCTTTTGAACCAGCATCCAGCACGTGTACGGCGCCCAGCACCCCCCTTTTGATCCACTGTTACACGGCACGTAAGTGATGCCCAATTCTCCCGGGGGCTTCGGGGTCCTGGGGCTGGGGGACCCTCCGGCTCCCTGGAGTTCCTGGGGGAGGGCACGGTCTTCCGTCCAGCAAACACGCGTGAGACACTGCTGGCCTTTCACGCTCGTCCTCCTGGGGGAGGCGGGGGGGCGGATGTGGAAGGACAGCCCGAAGTGGGCCGCCTGTGCAGGGGACATGGAGCTGGCTCCCCCACCGGCGGGGGGTGGTGTCCCTCGCTCTCCACGCACCCGCCCAGCTGCCCACGGCTCCCTCCGCCCTGTGTGTCCCGTTCCTTGCCACAGGTGAGCGAGAGGAAGGTGTGGCCCAGATGTTGTCTACAGTCATACTGTGGGGGCTCTCATATCCCCATCCGTGCCCCAAAGGCCTGTCTGTGTCTGTGAGCGGTCCCTTCACGCCCCCCCACCCGCCCCCCCGCAGCCTCGGGAGGGGGCAGGGGCGCTGGGAGGAGAGAATGTATGGGCCCTGCCAGGTGAGTCTTGGGCACCTGAGCACCTGGCGGCAGCGCTGTGCTCCGCACAGACCGCGTCTGCCCTGCCTGAGCCCGCAGCTTCTCCCGCCCCTGGCTGGCTCTGGTCCGCGTGTGCTCTCCCCTCCGCCAGCTCCATGGAAGCAGAAAGTGGTGTGTGCTGTTCACCTGGGGACTCCCTCCTGACTGTGGGGGAGTTTCAGGGCTCCCAGGGTCCAGTGACTGCCTTTGCCTTGCAGCTTGCTCAAGGCCACGCCCAAGGTGCCCACCACGCCCGTGAAGGCCAAGAGAGTCAGCACCTTCCAGGAGTTTGAGAGCAACACCAGCGATGCCTGGGATGCGGGCGAAGACGACGACGAGCTCCTGGCCATGGCAGCTGAGCGCCTCAACTCCGAGGTGGTCATGGAGACGGCCCACCGCGTCCTGCGCGACCACAGCCAGCGGCAGGAGCAGCACAAGCTGCAGGAGTCCCCAGGGCCCGGGCAGAAGCCCAAGCCCGCGGCAGAGCCGCCTCCGGTCGCCAGTGGGGACCTGCGGCTGGTGAAGTCTGTCAGCGAGAGCCACACGCCCTGTCCTGCAGGTGGGCTGGGGCGGAGCTGGTGTGCACTCCCGCAGGAGGGGGAGCCCTGCCCTTGCAGCAGGAGCCCTGCCCTGAAGGCCCCGAAGGGCGTCATCCGGGCCCCGCAGGCTTCCCCAGCGGGAGAAGCCGCTCGCAGCTCTGTGCCCGGCTCTCAGCCTCTCGCCTTCTCGTGGAGGGCGGGCCCTGGCTCTGTGGGCCCATCATGAGAGGGTGCAGTGAGCACGGCTCGGGCCTCCTAGGTGTGCCCTGGTTGCTCTCGGGGGGCGTTTCCAGCAGGGCCAGGCCAGCTGCACGGGCAGAGGACGCACCTCCAGGGACACTCACGTGGGTGCAGGGTCTGTGGTGTGTGTGCCGATGAGGAACTCCGGGGGGGCCTGTCTGCACTCCCGCCTGCCTGCGGCACTCAGCGGCCGTCCTCGCCATGGTGCTCACTTCCTGCACTTTCTGTGCGGTCGGGTCTGGGGTATGGGACCCAGTGCCTGAGCATCCGCCACGGGCCAGTGCTGTGGGCTGGGCCTCACCCAGAGTGTGGGGGTCTTGTGTTCACTCTGGTCTCACCTAGAGGGCGGTTCTGCCCCTGGGGACATGGAGCAGGGTCTCAGGACATTTTTGGTGGTCACATTGGGGCTGGGTGTTGCCACTGCATGTAGTGGGTGGAGGTCAGGTTGCTGTGCCACATCCCTCGTGCCCAGGATGGGCCACCCACGGGAGCTCCCCCGCAGGTGCACAGCAGGCGCTCCTGGTCCTCTGGAGACTGACCTGGCTGGTGCCAGGACACCAGGCGTGTCGTCAGGTTCAGCTTGCTCAGCGGCGGCACGAAGGAGAACACGGCAGGCCTGATTCTCAGGGACCTGGTCCCGGTCTGTGTGCCAACTGGCACTCCATCGGGAGACGCGGGGCACGGATGCTGTCATTTCCGTGAGGCGGATGGGACACGGCGGTGGACAGGATCCAGGAGCACCCAGTGTGGGAGCCCCGGCTCAGTCTCGTGTGGAAGGCGGGGGCATGTCGGCGAAGGCTTCAGAGGGGAGGGGATGCCTGCGGGTTCCAGGGGGTGAGCCCTCCCGGCGGGGAGTCACAGCCGGCAGGTCAGGCCTCCTGCCCCTGAGGAGGGTCATGTTTGCAGCCTCGTCTGCAAATTCCCAGAAGATGGGCCTCGTCCCAGGGCCCTGTTTCTGTTGGTGTCCGCTGTCGTTCCATAAACGCTGTTGAAGTGAACTAGCTTGTCCTCAGGGCCTGGCGACCGCGGGCCTCCCACTGTGCCCTGCCCTCCCCACCCTCCAGGCTCTCCCCCTCGTCCCTGCACAGGGACATCCCAGGCCAGGCCTCTGCTCAGAGGAGGACCTATGACTCTATTTTTTTAATTTTTAAAAATATTTTTGTTGATTTCAGAGAGGAAGGGAGAAGGAGAGAGAGAGAGAAAAACATCAGTGATGAGAGAGAATCATGGATCGGCTGCCTCCTGCATGCTCCCTACTGGGGATCCAGCCTGCAACCCGAGCATGTGCCCTTGACTAGAATTGAACCTGGGACCCTTCAGTCCACAGGCCAACGCTCTATCCACTGAGCCACACGGGCTACGGCTGTGATTTCCATTTCACTTTGTTGCTTACATGACAGTGTTTTGTAATTCATGTCCTGGAGTGTTCCACTTCCCGGACGGCCCAGTCAGCACTGCCTCTCCTGCTCCGTGACGTGCCACGCCAGCATTTATGTTGGAGGCCTGTCATGGGTGCGGCCGTGGGGAGCAGGTGTCCCCTGTGCAGTGTCCACGGGGCCCGCCTGCTGCATCCGCTGCGACACTCGGCCTGGGTGGACGGCGGCCTGGGGCTCAGACGGTGCCGCCTGGGCTCGTAGCTGCCTCCGCGCCCGCCCCACACCGCCCGCTGCCCTGACTTTCCTAATGACCGTCTGAGGAGGCCTCGTGCCTGAGTCAGGTGCACTTGCTTGTTTTAGGGAGCCATTGGGTTCCTGGGAAAGCACATCTGTGGCTGGGAAGGCTCAGTGGGCACGGCCAGGTGACAGCTGTCCTCGTCGCTGACCATGTCGGAGCCACGCACGGGGTCTGGTGTGGCTGCCCACAGGTGGCGGTTAGACCCCGCCTTCAGGGACCCTCGGGGACTTGCCGTGTTTCCTACGCACCGTAGCAGGGAGACCTGGTGCCGGTCTTCCTGTTTCCTCGGGACGCCACTGTCACCTTCCACATCCCTCCGCCCTGCGGGCCCACTGTGTGCTCTGCCAGGAGTGCGCGGTCCTCCCTGCCTCAGCGTGGCCCCGGCTCGTCTCTGAGTGCAGGTGCGTGCCATCCAGCACCGTCGCTGCCCACTGTGGCCTGAGCCTCCTGCTGGCGCGGTCCTGTGGCTCCTGAGATGTGGCTGAGGAGTGGATTCTGGGGAGAGAGCCTGAGGCCGCCCGGTCCTGCCCGCGCTCCCCAGGCGAGTGGGAGTGCTCCCTGCTCTGCCCACTTCGCAGGCTTTTCTGGAAGCTTATCTGGGCCAGACTCTGCCCCTAGGCCGCGGATGCGGCCTTCCCCTCCCCTTCTGCTGGAATGAGCTCACTCCGGGCACGGCGTCAGCACCTTCCTCCGCAGGGCTCGCTCCTCGTCCTGTTTCCGTGGGATTATTTTTACTCCACGTCCACTTGCCGTTGGAAGATGTGACAGCCACGGGGCTCAGAGCCCGCCGTGCCTCTTGCTGCTTGTCCCTGGTTGGTCTTGGTGGCTCTTTGTCGAATGACCCGAAGGCCTATGGCTCTTCCCTTGGGCTGTCCCTGGTCCTGGGCTGCGGATTTGGCATGCTCTCACCTCACCCCTGCGGGTGGTGTCTCCCTGGGCACAGGCCCTGCCACCTGGGCAGGGCCAGCTTGTGCTTGTCGGCACCCCCCCCCCCGCCCCCATCTGCAGCAGGTTGGCTCTATTTGCTCCTCATGGCGCAGGGAGGCCTGGGAGGCGCAGGCAGGGGCAGGGGCCTGCTCGCACAGCGTCCCGGTCGCCGGCATGCCCTAGCCTCTGCCTGCCGTCCTCAGTGCTCTTCGCACTGCGTCCCCTTAACGGGCGATGAGCTTTCCTCTGGCTCAGGCCCCGGCAGCTCCGCAGGCCCCTCCTCCCTGCCTGCACCCACAGATGCTTGGGCCACGCCCCCCGCAGGCCTGATTGGGGGCGTCCTGGCTGCTGTCAGGCCAGGGGTCCGGAGTGTTCTGTTTGTCTGGTCTTGCTGTGCTGCGGGGCGTGTCTGTTTCAATGGTGGGTGACACTGCGCCAGCAGAGCGAGGGGTGACCTCACAGGCGTTAGCGAGGTCAGTTCCTGCTCCGGAGACCAGGGCCTGCCCCACTCAGCGCTGTGGGAGGAGACACTGACCCCAGCGTTCACGGGGAAGTGGCTCGTGGCCACCCTCCCCTCCCCTCACCCCCTTCTCTCTCCCCCGCAGAGAGTGCCAGCGGCCCTGCCCCTCTGCACAGGTCCCAGTCACTCCCGCACGCGGCCACCGTCGTGGCCCTGGGCAGCACGTCCGACCCCGGGACCCTCAGCAGCTCGGCACTGAGTGAGAGAGAGGCTTCCCGGCTCGACAAGTTCAAGCAGCTCCTGGCCGGCCCCAACACGGACCTGGGTAAGTCTTGCTTCTGAGCGAGGCGGTTCTCGGAGGACCCGATCCGTCCGTGGCACCACTGCTCTTACTCCGTCACTCACCTCGTGTGCACGTGGTAGTTCATGTGCTTCCAGTGCGATTCCATCGAGTACTTCCTGTTCTTTTTCCTTAAGCCCCAGGGGCCCTCCTGCCTCTGAGAGCTGCCGTGGTGAGCTCTGCCCGGCTGGGCAGATGGACCTGGCTGGTCACTGTGAGCCTGGGCGCGGCGCTGGTGACTGGCGTCATGACCACTGCAGTCTGCGCCTCCCTGCAGGGCCTCCTTATTGGGGCAGAGCGTGAAGGCTAGGGCCTTGCAGGGGGCAAAGGCCAGCAGGGGCGGTGCAGCCAGGAGGGGACAGTGCGGCCAGCAGGGCGGGTGTGGCCAGCAGTGTTGCTTGTGGGTCGTGCGCCGCGTGGACGCTCCGAGGCATGGCTCGCTCGTCTGCTGGAATCCCCTTGGGTCACATCCCTCATTTATGTCTCCCTCTGTGGAGAGCCACTCCACAGGCCTGGGGGTTGGAGTGTTCTGGTTGTCTTGACTTGCTGTTCTGCGGGGCTAGGCCGCTCGCTTGACGCTGGAGCGTTCAGGATGGTCACCAGGTCATCAGGCTGGAGCTCTGAGGGCTCAGAGCCTGAGGCTGGCAGTGCCCTGTGCCACCACCAGGTGGCGCGTGAGGCCCGTGGATGGGCAGCACAGAGCAGCTCAGGCAGGAGGGAGCCTGGCCAAGGCCGAGGCAGCCGCCTGGGCCCCGAGGCCTTGTGGGTGTGAGATGCTGCTGCCCTGGGCACCAGTCTCACGTGGGCTTTCCTGTCCTGTCCTTTGCTTTTGCACGTGTGCACGTGGGACACAACAGTGCAGTGAGGGGTGTAGGGGACGGGTCCTCTCCTTCCCCAGCCCTCCCCGGGCTGGTCCCAGCATCTTCCTGCAGAGATGCCCGTGCACGCGCCACACTCACCTTCAGTGGAGGCCCAGCTTCACGCTTGCAGACACGTTGCAGGAACAGTGCTGTGCCAGACCCGTTTCCGTGGTCTCTGTGGCCCCTGGCCCCTGAGAACGTCACTGTGTGTCTCCTCAGGACAAAGACTTTCTCTCGGTCCCAGCGACATCAGTCAGGACGTGTAACGTCGATGGGCACTGTTGTCTAGTCCACGGGCGACGTTCACTGGACCATTGTCCCCGTGATGTCCTTTCTTCTTCTTTCTGGTCTGGAATCTGGGACAGCGTGGTGTCTGCCGCCACGTCACTCGCCTCCGTGACCCTGGAGCAGCGCCCGCTTGCGGTGTGGTCTCGGCCTGACATTCTGAAGAGCACAGGCCCCTCGGTGTGGGGGGTCCCGCGTCCTCCAGTGACACGTGGGCCAGTCATTTGTGTCCTTGGTGGTCATAGCACCGTGTACTGGCGTGTCCAGCGGTGACAGGCCCATTGGGTCACGTGGCTCAGGCGATGCCTCAGGCTCCAGGGGCCAGCTTTCCTTTCCCTTTGGGGTTCAGAAGGGTCTTAGAGACACGGTGGGTGCATTGGCATGATGTATTTTCTGTCCCCATGAGCAGTGTGTTTCCCTCCGGTCCTGGAGGTGCCAGCTCTACGTGTGCCCCCGAGCCCGGCACGACCGCTCCTCCTGGTGGGCACGCGGGTGACCCGGACTCTGTTGTTGCTGCACCTCGCATGCCGTCTCGCCCGGTGCTGGAGGCGTCCCAGGTGTTCCCAGTGTGGCTGGTGGGGAGGGGCAGCTTGAGAACTGGGCGGGCGTCTTACCACCAGCGAGGAGGGACGGCCTGTGCGCAGGACTCGGTGCTCCCGCCTCCCAGTCACGTGTGGTTTGAGCGTGTGCGGTAGCCACCAGCACACGCTGCCCCACAGGTGGTGCGGGCCAGTCAGAGCAGCCGTGAGCGCAGGTTCAGGGGACAGGCTGCCTGCGGGGGCAGGGGTGGGGTGGGGCTCTCTCTGCAGCTTCCTCACCGGGACCCTGACCTTGAGCCGGTGGCTGACTCACTCCTCTGTGGGCACGATAGCAGCTCTAGGTGCAGAATACCGCACACAGGGCCAGGGGTGCCAGCACACAGTGGGCAGGGGTGCCAGCACACAGTGGGCACTCAGGAAAGTTAGTCCGTTTTTCTTGTTTCCATTTGCCTTGGCCTGTGGCCCTGCAACTTGACTCCACAGCGTGGACAGACACGTCGCTGTGAGGCGCTGGCACGCCAGGCGGTCTGCAGGGACTTCCTAGGCGTGTGTGGTGGTTTCTGACGGGCCAGGAGCGAGGCTTCGGAAGCCAGGCTGACTGATGGGAGTCCCGTTCCGGGCCAGGCTCTGCGTCCTGAGCAAGCCTCCTCGCGGTGTTGTCATTGGGGTCACTTTTGGAAACCAAAATCACACCTAAGATAGAGCTTTACGGCCACTGGGGAAACGTGAGAGGCTGAAGGTAACACTTCAACATCAGGTTCTTCGTTCGGTTGGCAGGATTATGGGTTTTTCTTCAGAATTCTATTTAGCCATCATGTCTAACAACAAAAAGCTAAACCCAGATCTTTCAGAGTTCAGTAGTTACTGGGTTTTACTTAGTGGCAGGAGAAATTACAGGCAGTACGTTGCTGCCTTTGTAAGGCACGTACGTACAGTAGCTTCAAGGACGGCGGAAGCATTATCTTCATGTTACGGGGAAGATGTAGTGGCAGGTGTCTGCCGTGGGAAGCACGCAGCCGGGTGAGTGCCCAGAAACGCCCCCCCCCCCCCCCCAGCGCATCCTGTCCCGCAGGCGCCGCGTCTGTGTGGTCTGTGTGCTGGGAGCTGGGGATGGAAGTGGCAAACGCAGGGGCAGCTCCTCCTGCCCTAGCAGACTCACAGTTCACTCATCACACGCTGCTGCTCAGCCCTGGCCGGTTTTGCTCAGTGGTTAGAGCGTTGGCCTGCGGACTGAAGGGTCCTGGGTTTGATTCTGGTCAAGGTCACATGCCTGGGTTCTGAGCTTGACCCCCATCCTGGTCCGGTGCATGCTGGAGGCACCCAGTCGCTCTGTCTCTCTCACATCGATGTTTCTCTCTCTGTCTCTCCCCCTCCATCCTATTCTGCCTAAAAAACCAATGGGAGAATGTCCTCGGTTGAGGCTCAGCCGCAGAAGGCCGACCCCAGGAAGGGGCACTCAGAGGTCATGGCGTGACCCCGGCGGCTGAGTGGGAGCAACCTGGCAGGACACAGACATGGTGTCCCTGGCGGGGAGTGGGGCCTGAGGCGGGTGTGTGAGGCGGGTGTGTGACACGCAGCCCTGAGGACAGAGGAGCGAGCCAGGCACACGGACGTGTCCTCGGGGAGCCCTGGTCTGGCTTCCAGATGGTCAGCGCTCACAGGTGTTTCCGATGTGGGGCGCGACGTGGTGACGTGTGTTTTGTGTTTTTGGTGGTGGGTGTGCAGTGTTCACTCTGAAAGCAAGGATTTCGGTTGGATGCCCCTGCAGGGCCTGGGCTGGAGGGCAGCTGCCGGCGTGAGGCAGGACGAGGCGGCCGTGCAGCCTCTGCCAGGGCGGGAGCGACCTGGCCAGGTGCCTCGGCCTCCTGCCTCAGCACCGGGACCGAGCCTGCAGGGGCCTGTGACACAGGCGGGAACAGGCCTAAGGCGTCGCCGAGTTTGTTCACTCAACCGCGACTCCTGAGCCTCTGCTGCTGGTGTGGACGCCGGTGAAACGGGGCCAGACCCTGCCCTGGCTCAGGGAGACAGACAGACACGCCCAGGCAGTATCTAGGAACTGCTGGGGGTGCTGAGTGCACGTGGACCTTGCGCTGAGGGGGGGCAGCTGCTGTGGGGGAGTCTGCAGGCCCCTTGGCGTAGGCTGCGGTCCGTCCTCACTTGGCCTCGTCCGCAGGTTCCGCCATGGGGCGGAGTGACCTGTCACCCAGTTTACCCGGGCCACGTGCCCTAAGCGAGACTTCAGTTCCATCAGCGTCTCGTCAGCGTTGTAACCAATGGGGAAGGAAGCGACGGATCAAGTCCTGCTGTACTTGCAGGTGTGGGCAGGAAGCGGCTTTAAAAACATTATTTTTTATTGATGTCAGAGAGGTAGGGAGAGGGAGAGAGAGATGGAAGCCTCAATGATGAGAATCATGGATCAGCTGCCTCCTGCACGCCCCCTACTGGGGATCGAGCCCGCAACCTGGGCCTGTGCCCTGACCAGGAATTGAACTGTGACCTCTCTGAGCCACATAGGCCGGCAAAGCAGGCCTTGGAAGGTGGGGAGGAGGCTCCAGGGCGGCCAGCTCGGCACGGCCTGAGGTGCACGCTCCTGCCAGAGCAGCGGAGAGCAGCTGCTGAGCCAGGCCTGGGGGCGGAGGCCAGCTGCACAGGAGACAGGTCCCGAGGCTGGCAGGCAGGGAAGGGGGGCAGTGCACCGGAGGGCAGCGCCAGGCCTCTGGGAGGCTTTGGGCCCGAGGAGCGGAGCCTGGCAGCCCTTCTGTGGAAGGACGAGCCCTGAGGACTGTTGAGCGGGGCCTATAGAGGGCCTTGGGCCGAGGCACAGTCCTCAGGCTGCTGCTGCCCGCAAGTGGGGACGAGGAGGGACAGCAGGGACAGGGAGGACGTTCGGGGGACGCCAGGAAGTGGGTGAGGTCCGGTGGTCACTTCTCCAGGCTCTGCAGGGCAGGCGGTGGGCCCGGCGCCTGCTGGACGTGAAGCTGGGGAGACGGAGCAAGCCAAGACCGTCACCCGGAGCCCAGGGGCTGGGAGGACTGGGGACAGCTGACGGACACGGACGGAGCACGCCCGAGGAACGCGCCATGTCACGGGGAGGCACAGGTGCTGGGAGAGGCCTGGGGTGCGGCAGTCCCTCCTCGGCAGGGCGCTCTCCGCGGGCTCAGCCACCGCCGTCAGTGGGGTCCAAGAATATTACTCAGAAGCTCCCAGGAAGGAGCAGTGGGAGAGTTTAAGTGCACGCTGTCTGCGTGGTGCGATGGTCTCCTTCCCGGCCCCTCTCATCCTGGCGACGGAACCGTCCCTG